AGTAGATGTGAAAGCAAAAACTGCAGATGTTAGCAGATATTTTTTACAGGATTGTTTTTATTTTATTTTATGTGTATAAGTGCTTGCCTTCATCTAATTATGTATACCACGTGCATGCAGTGTTTGTGGCGACCATAAGAGGGTGTCAGATACCCTAGAGTTACAGATGGTTGTGAGCTACCGACTGGGAACTGAACTCCGGTCCTCTGCAAGATCTGCAAATGCTCTTAACTGCTGAGCCATCTCTGCAGCCTGCCAGCAAATATTTAATAGTTAAGTACAGAATTTTCTGTGTAGTTATTTTCCAAGCAGATTTTAAAACTACGGTTCATTGCTAAGAATCTTGAGTTTTTACTCACCCCCAATGCTGCATTGTTCTTTGTTCTTTGAATTAAACTTGTGTTCCAAGACTAACCCACAGTTATTTAGTGAATTAAAGGCTATTTTTATTTTGAAGTTTAGAAGGAAGTTTGAGCATTACCTTCTGGTGGAATAAAAATTAGCAAAATTGATGTTTAAGGAAAAACTTGTATAGTTTTCTATAGCGAAGGGGGTCTTGGAAATCTAGAGAAATTCTGAAAGAGGGTTCTCTGGATTTCCTGTTAGCTTGCAATGAAATAGTAGCTATGATTGTCACTCTCTGCCTCCCAAGTGCTGAAAAGGGATAACTGTCCCATCTGAAAGAAAGATGTTGCCTATTCCTGGGTTAGTCAGAATGCCTGTGAGTCTCTGGTGTGACTCAGAAGATGGGTGGCATCACCAGTTTTCCATTATTTTGGGCTCTCACACATATCCACAAAGAGAGAACAAAAGGACCCAGAGCACCACGGACTAAACCTCCCCAAATTGATCCCCCCCCCAATAGGATGATTGTCCTAGGTATTTTGTCACCGTGATGGAAAGCTAACTAACACAGTTGCAGATTGGAGCAAATCCTACCACAGAACTGTATTTTTCAGCCATAAATCCATGACCTCTCCCCAGTCCAAAGACAAAATCCTGTAACTTCTGGAAAGGCAGGCCACTGGGAAGTTGTAGTTATAGGATGGAGAAGCTCCAAGAATACAGTTATAAACCACATAAATGCTGAAGTTCCCCACTCTCATCTGTTCAGTCAGTAGGCCTAGTATCCAAAGCAGTGAAAAGGCCTGGTTCTGAGGGCAACAATAACCTGATTTTGATTAAAACAATTTTTTAAGACAACCAGCATATAGTGCACCCCCTGGGTTTTGTTTTGTTTTGGAGGCAAATAGGTAAGGAATTTCATGCTGCCACCCAGCTTACTGCTTGCATATTCAAGCTCTGTAATGACCCCAAAGTTCATGTCACACAGATGTATTTTTTAAAGTCACCTTTCTCTTGTTCAGTTGGAACTTGCTATTTTGTCTGTACCAATGAACAGGTGATCCATAGGAAGTAGTGGCATTGTGACAGGGTTTTTAAATTGAGTTTTGGGTTTTGATTTAAGGGTATGAGGTTTTGTTTTGTTTTGTTTTTTAATAGAACGGAGAAAAGATAAGATTTTAATGGAGTTATCCAATGTTACTCAACTTTCCTGTACTATAACATACCCAAGACTATATCTTGTAATGAGGAGAGCTTCATCGTGGATTGTGGCTTTGCATTTATGCCTGTGGTCAGTATTGGTGCTTTGGGACCTGTGATGAGGGGTCAATGCAGTAGGGCAAGGACCACCTGGTGGAGCAAGCTGCTACCTCACGTCTGTTCAGAAACTGAAAGAAGACATTGCAGAGTTCCCAAGTCTCCTTAAGGACATACCCTCAGTGACATAAACCCTCCCACCCCCTTCTCCATGGCAGCGAGCTGAGAACCAAACTTTTTGTTTTGTTCGAGACAGGTTTCTTTGTAACAGTCCTGGCAGTCCTGGCATCTGCCTCCCAAGTGCTGGGAGAAAAGGTGTGTGCCACCACCATCAGGCTTAAGAACCACACTTTAATATGCAGGCCTAGGGAAGCCACCCAGGTCCACATTAGAGGGGTGTTCAGTCTCAGCAGGAGACAGAAGATAGCTTGTAGATTATGAGTGTTCTAATTTCATGTCTGTTGTGATAAAATATCTCAACAAGTAATTTAGGAGAGATTAGATTTACTGTTGCAAGTTATAGTCCATTATTGAGGGGAAGTCATGGCAAGAACTTAGACACATCCACAATCAAGACCAAAAAGAAAAAACAAATGTGTGTGTGTGTGTGTGTGTGTAAATATACATATACATATACATATATACATACATACATACATACATACATACAAATATACATATACATATACATATACATATATACACACATACATACATACATACATACATACATATATATATTCTTGCTTATCTGCTTGCTTTCAGCTAGTTTCCTCCCATAATGGGATAGGTCTTCCTATAAGTTAATAATTGGGATAATCCCCCATAGGCATGCTCTCAGCAAGACTCTTCACAGGCAATTCCAGGTTTTGTAAAGCTAACAGAACTAAGCAGCACAGCAGGAATGGGATTTTTTTTTTAATAGGATGGAGTTTTTGAAAAATTATAGTTTTTATGAAGTAGTGATATCTGTTTTTCTAAATAAATAGTAATAAAATAGTTGCTAGGCTCCGCTTAAAAGAGATGTATGTGTAGAATGAGGAAGGTGGGTTGAGTGAGAGTGAAGGTGATAGTCCTGAGATTGGTTTGTTGTATTTGGACACAATAATAGTAGGTAAGATTGGTGAACACATTTCTTTTGAATTAATTGATGTTATGTTAGACCGTTTCATAATTGGCATTGGAGATAATTCAATGTTTGAGCATTCTCTTATTTAGTGCATTATTCTCCCATTGCTGTGACTAAATACCTAACAAAAACAATGTGATAGAAGGATTTATTTGGTTGAAGAGAGTTCGGTCCATTGTGCTGTAGTTCATGATAGAGGGTGTGACTGGGATTATTCACTTCTCAGCCCACAAGGAAACAGAACAGGGAATCCTGCCTAGTAATGTTTTTCCCTTTTATGCTGTTTCTCAGTCCTAGGGATCAAACTCAGGGCCTTGTGTATTGCTGAACCTGTGCTCTGCTACTGAGATACACTGTAATGATAAATCTTTCTGTCAAAAGCCGCCTGCCCCACCCCCACCCCCACGCCAGCGGCCCGCTCGAGTTAGGCCCAAATGAATACACAGAAACTTTCAAAGCTGCTTGGCCAATGACTAGGATTCCTCATCTGTTAGCTCAGTCTTAATTATCATAAACCTATATGTTTTATAAGATTTATCTTATCGGACGTCTTATTGGTGTCCCTCCTGGCCGGTGGCTCACATCCTGCCGCTGGAGGAGGAGAAGGGCTAAAAGGGACCCTTCCTGTTTCTCCTTCACTTAAATATGAGTCTCCTTGCTATGTCACTTCCTGCCTGGATCACTACTTCTCTACTACATTTCCCAGAATCCTCTTTGACTCCTAGTCCCATCTAACTTGCTGTCTCATTGGCCAAACAGTATTTTATTTAACAATCAATAAGATAAACATACACATAAGTACTTCTCCCATCATCTCCTCTTTTCTGTCTAAAATAAAACGATAACTTACCTTTTATAATAACTGAAGAAAACTATAACCATAACTATCTGTCTTCAACTCTATCAAAGACCACAGAAGGATAATATATAAACTCTAGAATTGACGGAGACATCTCGCTGCCTGGCATAAAGTGCACACGTGGCGGTGGGGCTCAGACAGCTTTTGGCAGAAAGATTTATCTTAACAATACACTCCTAACCTAGATTTGTTTTTTTTTAACTATTGTAATTTAAAATACATTTTCCATAAATAAGCTTTGGAATTTAATTTAGTTTTGGTCTTCCTATGTGTCTAACTGAATGCACATGGGTCCATGGTTCCTGCATGGGATTTGAGGACACCCTGCTGATAGTTGCTGGGGCAAAAAGAATCATCTTCAGAGATGCAGGTTGAGCTCTCAGGTGAAAAGACCTCAAAACAATATAAACTGTTGAAGAAAAAGACGACCGGCCACAATCATGGTATCCCAGCATGTACTACAATGGTAAAGGATGGGGTTTGTCCAGGTTAGTGTATTCCTGGGGTAGGTGCATCTTAGTGAGTTCCAGGTCAGCCAGGACTACACAGTGGGACAGAACCCTAAATGAAAATGGAGAGAGCGAATCAAGGTCTTTGTTTTGGACAAGAGTGTGTATCAGTGGTGGCTCCTTTCTAACATGCCTGAGGCGCTGGATTCAATCCACAGCATTGATATATATGTAATAAGATGGCTCAGTAGTTAGCTCTGGCTCATCTGGTCTTTTGCAGAAGACCTAGGTTCAGTTCCCAGCACCTACGTGGCAGCTCACAATTTTCTATAACTCTTTCTGGCTTCTTCAGCACTGCATGTACATGGTGCGCAGTTATATGCAAAGCCAAAAACACATATAGTATAAAAATAAACAAATAAACTTAAAAAGATAGTTTTGGACCAGCAAGATGGTTCAGCAGGTAAAGGCACTTACTCAAGTCTGTGGACTTGAGTTTGATCCTTGGAACTGACATGGTATGAAGGAGAGAACCAGCTTCACAAAGTTGTCCTGTGGCTTCCACATTACTACTGTTGGGCACATTCACAAACATAATAATAAATAAAATACCAATACTACTTTTTGGGTTGTCACTTCACCCCACTCTAGTCCCCAGCTCACTTTTCACTTGTTACTTCTGAGGATGTTGAGGAAGGAGAATTAAAGCATGTTACTCAAACATCTGGATCTGGAAAATGTGTTTTTAAAGCACTACCCTTCTTAGCACAGGCTGTTTGTAATGTTGGTACTCTCAGGGTTCATGTGGCAAGGTTGAAACAAACAACTCATTGATAGGATCCCGGGGAGCCTGAGAACTTGTCTGTGCTCATTGGCTGGAGCTTGTGTAAAAGCTGCTTCTTGGTGACAAAATTGTGTCATTTAGAAGTAAATTGCCCTTTTCTTTTCTTTCCAAATGTAGGTTATATTTTTGGGAAGGACTCCAGAAGACGCATATAGAACATTAATCTTTGGAGATACAGCTTATATCCCTTTCAGGTAAATGTATAGGTAATGTGGTAGATCTATTTGATCAGACCCTTACCAAGAAGTTTTTGGTGGTAATTCTTTTTCTTTATTTTTTAAATGATTATTTATTCATTTGTTTGTTTGTTTATGTCATATCCTGACTACAGTTTCCCCTCTTCTTCTTCTCCCAGACCCTGTCCCCACCTCTCATTCCCCATCCTCTCCTATTTTTATTCAGAAAATGGCAGGCCCACCATGGATATCAACCAAACATGGCATATCAAGTTGCAGTAAAACTAGGCCCTTCCCCTCATATTAAGGCTGGATGAAGCAACCCAGCAGGAAGAAAGGGTCCCAAAGGCTGTCAAAAGAATTAGACAGACCCTGCTCCCACTGTTAGTAGTCCCACAAGAAGACCAAGCTACACAACTGTAACATATGCAGATGGTCCCCTGCAGGCTTCCTGGTTGTTGTTCAGTCTCTGTAAACCCCTATGAGCCCCGGTTAGTTGATTCTGTGGGTTTTCTTGACCTGTGCGGCTCCTATAATCCTCTCTGACTCTCTCCTGCTCCACCTAATGTTCAGTTGTGACTCTCTGTATCTGTTTCTATTAGTTGCTGGATAAAGCCTCTCTGATGTTAATTGGGCTAGGCACCAATCTATGAGTATAGCAGAATATCATTAGGCATCATTACATTGACTTTTTTTTTTTTTGCCAGTTGTGTTTCGTTCTGTCCTAGATTTCTGGGCTATCCAGCCTCTGAATCTTGGGGCTCCAAGCAGCATCACATATGGGCTTTTTATCCTGGCATGGATCTCAGGCTGGGCCAGTCATTGGTTGGCCATTCCCACAATTTCTGCTCCTTCTTTACCCCAACACATCTTGTAGGCAAGACAAATTGTAGGTTAAAGGTTATGTGACTGAGTTGGTGTCCTCATCGCTCCACTGAAAGTCTTGCCTGGTTACAGGCAAGTTCAGGCTACATATCAACTATTACTAGGAGTCTTAGGGTCACTGCTTATAGATTCTTGGGAGTTTCCCTTGCTCTGTGTTTCTACCTCAGCTCAAATGCCCTCTCCCCTTTTCCTTCGTCTCTTCCCTTCCAGCCCCCAATCTGGTCCTTCCTGTTCCCATCCCAACTCACTCCTAGTCCATCTGCAAAGTCTCTAGTATTTCCCCTTCCCAGGGAGATCCAAGAGTCTCCCGTTGAGCCCTCCCTGTTACTTAGCTTCTCTGGGTTGGGTCTGTGAATTGTAGCATGATTATTCTTTTTACATCTCATGCCCACTTACAGAGTGAGTACATACCATGTTTGTCTTTCTGAGTCCAAGGTAGTTCGCTCAGGATGATTTTTCCATTTGGCTGCAAGTTTCATGATGCCATTGTTTTTATTATTCTGGCTCTTACCAATAAAACTGGTATGAACATAGTTGAGCAAGTGTCCTTGTAAGATGGAGCAATCTTCTGGGAATATGCCCAAGAGTGGCATAACTGGGTCTTGAGGTAGATCGATTCCCAGTTTTCTGAGAAACCACAGTGTTGATTTCCAGAGTGGCTGTACAAGTTTGGACTTTACCTGGGATTCTTTTGTTGAGAGTTCTCTATTTAAAATCTGTATCCCATTTTTTAAATTGGGTTATTTATTCTTTTGCGGTCCAGTTTCATTAGTTCTTTATATATATTTTGGAGATCAGCCCTCTGTCAGATGTGGGATTGGTGAAGATCTCGTCCCATTCATTGTATAGGCTGCCGTTTTGTCCTATTGATGGTGTGCTTTGATTTTGAGAAGCTTTTCAGTTTCATGGGGTCCCATTTATTGTCGACCTCAGTGCCTGCACTGTTGGTGGTGTTCTGTTCAAGGAGTTGTCCCAGGTTCAATGTATCTGGATTTGTTTTCAGGTCTTTGGATTCACTTGGACTTGAGTTTTGTGCAGTGTGATAGATATGGATCAATTTGCATTTGTGTGCATGCCAACATCTAGTTAGACTAGCACCATTTGTTGAAAATGCTTTTTTTCCATTGAATAATTTTTGCTTCTTTGTCAAAAATCAAGTGTCCATAGGTGTGTGGATTTGCATCTGAGTCTTCCAATTTGATTCCATTGACCAACCAGTGACCTTTTTATGCCAGTATCATGCAGTTTTTATTACTGTTACTATAAATGTACAGGAATGTGGTAGATCTATTTGATCATACCCTACGAGGAACTTTTTGGTGGTAATTCTTGGCGTTGGGGGAGCCCTGGCAGGAAGGTATGGTAAGTGGTATGACACCATAGATCCAGGAGCTGACAGTAATACCTTTGGAATGTTGTCATTTCTGGCCTCTCTTTGCAGGACACTAGTGACTTCCCCATCCCTACTGCTGTTATCAGAACCTCAAATGTCTCTTGACTTCACCTTCTGTCTCTAGAAATGATAGGGGTGGAGTAGGACTTTCTTGGCCAAGAACCAAGCTGTGATGTAGCCAGGGGAGAATCCTGGTGATACTGTTCCCAGCGTTACCTCAGGTTCCTGTGAAACCCACTCGGGAGTTCCCTTACTTCACAGGAGGAATGTTCTCAGCAACACTTGACCCCTTTCCCCAGGAGCAGAGGTAGCAGGTGTGGCTACTGATGTAGACCCCCCTGCAACGAAGCCTATCAGGCACCTGTATGTGGGGGAGGTGGAGGTGGCAATGCTCCTGCTCTGTAGGTGGTTAGCAGCCTCACCTCTCACCTACAGTGCAATTGTCTTGAAAGAATTTTAAAGAAAAAAAATGTTGATAGAGCTCTAGCATCTTGTAGATGAACTCTCTAGAGTGTCTTCCCTCACTGAAGACAGTTTCGTCAGGTTGCTCTGTTGAACCCTCTCCTCCTTGAAACAGGGCTTCCGTTGTTTTGGCAATGTTCAGAATTCAGTGGTTGAAGGCCTTGGCTGAGACAGAATGCCCCATCCCTGTTACCTCAGACTATCCCAACTGCTCTGTGATTTGAGGTGGGTAGGAAGAGAGAAAGGCACTGAACTGAAGTAAGCCACACATCTCGTTAACTTGTAGCAGCAACCTCCTGTGTCTGTAGAAGCAAATCTTGTATCTGTGACCACAGAGTGAGAGGCAGGTATTTAGATTGGCTGTTGGCACAGTGATGACCTTGTTCTCCAGAATTCTTCAAAAAGTGTTAATCCCTTAAAGGCATTCTCACTGCATAAGGACATGAAATGCAAACAGGCTTTCTTCCTTGCTAGAATGTAGCACAAACATCATCAACCCCAGTTCCCACTACAACCTCCCTAGATCGTTCTAATGTGCTTTTCTCTCATTTTGTCTCCTTTTTATTTGTTTATTTGTGAGTGTGAGATAGAGTTTGCATTGTTCCCAGTCCTCTTGGTTGTGCCTCCCAAATGCTAGGGTTATAGGCATGCACTACCAAGCCCATCTTGTGGTTGTTCATAACTTGCTTTGGTTATCAGATAGAGAACTTACTCTTAGCTTTGCTGTTGCTGTCTGCTTTACAAACTTAAGCCTCAATTTGTATTCTGAAGATAGGAACTATAGTAGTGCCTACTCGCAGAGGTTATACTCAAAAACAAAACAAACTGTAGTGCCTGCCCTTCCCCGGTGTTTGCTCAGGATTTATAGCCCAGTCCCCTTTTTAAAAGTTGATACATACAATTTGGAAAGAAAACACTAATGCTAAAAAAACAAACTGCATACATATGTGTGCTTGTGCACATGTATGTGTGCAGAACTTAGGAATTGAACTCAGACATTGCACAAGCACACACAACTGAGCCTGCACCCCAGCCCACAAAACTAAATTGAATTGTACAGCTAAGTCTTATACACCATATTTGACTGCTACACTTTGGGATGTAGAACATGGCTCTTGCCCCCAAAGATTCCCTCCTGTCCTCTGCAGTCAGTTATCAGGCTCCCCTAGAGACTGCTGTTATGTTACCTTTCCTGCTGTCTCTAAGGCCTGTTTGCTTTTCATGTGCCTAGAATCATCTAGTATGCATCTTGAGGGAATGGCTCAGTAGTTAAAGCACTTGCTTTACAGTCCTGGGGACCAGTGTTTAGATTCTCCACAACACACATAAATGCTGGGTGGGGAGACAGCCTGCAATTAGTTCCTGCCTTGGAAAGGAAAGACAGTGTGTCGTCCTTAGAGCAAGCTAGGCTAGGAAGGCCAGTCATATTGGTGGACTGTGGGTTTGCTGAGAGAGCTTGCTTGCCTCAATGAATAAGGTGGAAGGACAATTGAGGATGATTGCTGGTGGCTCAGGTCAGCTTGTGTATTCAGATAGTGTGAAGTGGGTCTTGAGTAAAGAAGGGCTTGAGCCTTTGTAGTTCTCAAAGAAACCATGCATCAAATTCTTCGTAAGGTTGAGTCAGTATGCCTTTAACTGGTTGGAGAATTGTTGATCACATTAAGGCCAGGTCGTGCACACTTTTAATCCCAGCACTCAGGAGGAAGAGGCAGGTGGATCTCTGTGAGTTTGAGGTAAGCCTGGTCTACAAATCGAGTTTTCCAGGACAGCCAGGGTACACAGAGAAACCCTGTCTTGAAAAAAACAAACACACACACACACACACACACACACACACACAGAGTTAATGGTAGTAGTTAACAGTTACTTTCAAAGTCATTGTATCACTGCACTTTGCCAGTTCTCTCTCTTCCCATTGATTGATAGGGCTGGTTGTTGTAATTTTAAAAAGAAGAGAGGGAGGGAGGGAGAGAGGGAGAAAAGAGAGAGGGAGAGAAAGAATGAGAGGAGGATAGGAGGTGGACAGGGCCCTTTTAAAAGGGAACATAGTGGTGCTCCTAGTGGCTGCAGCTGAGGGCATACCCTGTCAGAACCCCCAAGGACAGGCCGGTACAGATGGCTGAATACAGTGTCGATGTCTGTTGGCTAATTATTTATTCACTTGCTCAGATGTGGAGTGATTTTTACCAAAGGTTTGGATGCGTTTGCTCTTGTGATTGTATTGGAATTTTGACCCTTAAGAATTAGAAAGGAGCCTGGTGCTCGTCAGGTGGATCTCAATGAGTTTGAGACCAGCCTGGTCTGGACTGTTAAACAGAGAAACTCTTGACTTGAAAAAACAAAACAACAACAATAGAATTAGAAAGTTGGTTGGAGAGATAGCTCAGGGGTTAAAAGCATTGGCTGTTCTTCCAGAGGACCCAGGTTTAATTCCCAGTACCAACACCTCAGCTCACAACATTCTGTAGGTGTAACTCCAGTTCCAGGGGATCTGACACCATGCACATAAAGTTAAATAAATAAAAAGAATTAGAAAAAAATTACCCAGTTAAATTATCCAGTTCCGGTATAAGTATAGGAACAAAATGCTTGTGACTGTACTGTAGAGATCATTGGAGCATTGAATTCTAGTCAGCTTTGTCTTGGGGTGTGTATGCTGTGCAGCATTAACAGAGTAACACTTTGGGAATTTCAGAGACGCTGCCTACGGAAGCTGCAGTTTCTATATTACACTTCTCGACTGTTTTCACGCAGTAAAGAAGGTGAGTGTCTTGGAGAAGATGAGGAGTTGTTTTACATAGCTCTGTTAGAATTCCTTCAGCAGCGGTGTGTAAGGTCAGACGTATTCCCCTCCCAGATAGCATCACAGAGACCCCAAACCAGTAAACGGCTCACTATGAATTTCTCATTGCTTCTGTGTGTGAATGGGATGGAAAGGGCACAGACAGGAGACAGACTGGGGCTGTCAGTCATTGGTTGAGCACTTGTTTGGCATGTGAGAGGCCAAGGGTTCAACCCCAGCATCACAAAAACAAGGCCACACGTAAGAGAGTTAATTAACAGTTAGGGCTGTTACACAGAGAAACCGTGTCTCAAAAAAACAGAGGGAGAAGGGAGAGAGAGATAAGTAATTTGGTTCTAGATATAGTATTAGTTTTCAGTGTGTCTGATTTAAAAGAAAAAAAAGTTGAATACTTTTTTCCTCCAAGGTCTATTTATATATATTCTGTATATATAACACAGTAACTGTGGGGAGTGGAATATTGCTCAGTGGCAGTGTTGGTCTAGCAAATTCAAGGTCCTAGGCCCCATCCTCTGTACCAACAACATAGTTACTTGAGACTCAATTTTCTTTCCACACGGTGGACTTTGAGTTCAACAGGGTAGTTTGGACAGCAATCAGTTTGTCACAAAATTTTATATAAAAATAAATGGGCTGTAATTGCTTTGTCAGAAAGTTTCATTCAGGGCTTGGGGTGTGTGGCATACGGGCCCCAAATAGGTGAACAAAACTTCCCACATCCTTAGCAGATGCTCAGCATGAATACAGCACTACTTTTCTAAGACATTTCCTCGTGCTCAGCAGAAAATTGGGTAGGAAATTGGCCTTTTGCTTACACCTTTGTTCTTAAAAAAAAGTTTTCTTTCATATTTCAGGCAATGCAGTACGGCTTCTTTAATTTCAACGCATTTAACCTTGATGAATATGAACACTATGAAGTAAGTCCTAGATTCCTCTTCTCAGTCTCCTTACTCCATGCTTTACTGAGGTGTCATCTATATTAGTAATTATCTATCTTAGTAATGCTTTAATTTATCTGATATTGTTGTTACTGTTGTTATTATTTATTATGTGGGTGTATGATGTGTATTGGTAAGCTTGTGAAGCCAGAGGACACCTTAGTAGAGTAAGTTTTCTCCTTTCTGTCTATATGGGTTCTGGGGCTCACACTCTGCCCATCATACTTGTGTGGCAAGTGCTTGACCCGTTGAGTCACCCTGCTGGCCCAGATAATGTTTTGATGGCTATGTGCTTGTGAAATGGTTCCCAGAGTCAAACTCTTTACCCTTAGCTTGGTTTTCTCTGTGTAGCTTTGGTACTTGTTCTGGAACTTGCTCTGTAGACCAGGCTGGCCTCGAACTCACAGAGATCCTGCTGCCTCTGCCTCTCTAGTGCTGGGATTAAAGGCATATGCCATCACTGCTTGGCCCTTGGCCCATGCATGATTTTTAATGGTGGTTTCTGAGTTTGTCTACTAGATGGTTCCAAGAAAAACAGGTTTTGGTGTAGTCTTTGAACTGCTTAGTTTAAGTTCTGTTTTTAGTCTTGGTGACCTTCCTGTAGTGATGGGGATACAGGTTTGAATGAAGTCCTCAGTGTGCACACAGAAAGGTGATTAGTTGCTGTGTACTTGGCCGCTGTTATAGCCTATTTGTATTGATTAGATACTCTGTTTCAAATTTTGAAAACTAAGGGCCAATAGCCTTTAATCCCAGCACTCAGGAGGCAGCAGCAAGTTTGACACCAGCCTGGTCTACATATCGAGTTTCAAGCCAGCCAGAGCTACATACTGACACTCTTATCTAAAAGCAAAAAGCCTGAAATGTTTTAAATAAAAGAATGAACATTTTATTGGGATCTTCAAATTAAAAACCCAGGAGCAGCCGGGTGTTGGTGGTGCACACCTTCAATCCCAGCACTGGGGAGGCAGAGGCAGGTGGATCTCTGTGAGTGTCGGGCCAGCCTGGTCTCCAGAGCGAGTGCCAGGATAGTCTCCAAAGCTACACAGAGAAACCCTGTCTTGAAACAAAACAAAAACAAACAACAACAACAAAACCCCCAAACAAACAAACAAACCCAGGAGCAGAGCCAAGGAGATGGCTCAGTAAATAAAATGTTTATTGTGCAAGAATGAGAACCTGGTTTTAGATCCCAGAGCCCATGAAAATAGCCCAGTGAGACAGTAAACACCTGTAATGCCAGTACTGGGGAGGTGCAGAAAGCAGCATTTCTGGGGCTCACTGGTCAACTGTTTTAGCTAAATCAGTAAGCTACAGATTCAATGAGGAAATTTGTCTCAAAAAAATAAGGTGGAGAGTAGTTGAACTCTGGCCTCCCTCCCCTCCCCTTTCCCCCCCCTGACGATCCACCCACCACCCACCCACCCACACACACACACACACACACACTCACTCACTCACTCACATACTCATATGGGGATGTTGATTATTATTGCCAGACTGAATTCCCTGGCCCTACCAGGACTCTGGCCTACCACATCAGATAAAGAAGATGGGGCAAGAAAAAGTGTACAGGCAGGCAAATTCACAGATACCTTCTATATTTTTAAGAAAGACAGAAATCGTTCATTCTAGGGTTCCCTCTTCCAAACAGATGTGTGAGATACTATATTAAAGGCCCCCTGGAGGCAGGGAAGCTGGATTCTTTTCTTTCTGTCCAGCTATAGTTATTTTGAGCGAACTTCCTCAGAAGGAGAGGAAGACAGTGCTCCATGCATTCATATCTCAAGTCCACAGATAATTAGCTTTTGCTGTCAATTTCTGAAGAACTTTTAATTTAGAAAACTGAAGGATAATGGAAGAGTTTTGTTGATGGTCTAGGCTCCTTTTGTGGCAAAGATAAAGCTTATCCCAGGATTCATTCATGACAACTGTATCTTCCTTGTACTGCCAATCTGTTTCTAAAGTACAGTATTTGACTATGTCCTTCAGTGACTGTATAACTAAATTACAAACAGCAACAACAACAACTACTTCCTCCTCCCCCCCCCCATAAAATTAAACATGTAAAATGAAATGTACTTTTTTGGGGCTGGGGAGAGGCCTCAGGGGATAAAGTATTTGCTGTACTAACTTGAGTGTCAGAGTTTGGATCCCTAGAAGCCACATAAAAACTAGGCAGGCGAGCATACATGTCTGAGACCTGTAATCCCAGCATTTAAAACAAAAGAGACAGATGATCCCAGGGGTGAGCCAGACCTGCCTAGTTAAGAGTCCTCAATTTCTGCCTTTAGCAAGAGACCATGTTCCAATAAATGAAATGGAAAGTGATTGAACATCAGATGTCAACTTTGGGCCTCCACACATGTGAACATGGACACACATACATGTACACATAAAAATACACACATACATACACACTTAAAAATCCTTTTTCTAGGCATATGAAATACTAAAAATAGTAGTTGGCCCAGGAAGCACCGTGTTTCTATTACCACAGTTGTTAAGTGATGATTTTTTCCTTTTGGCACTGATTCTCTGCATCACAGTCAGTTGCCTTTTATTTCTTAAAAGTCTTGTTATGCTGGGCATGGTGGTGCATGCTTGTAATCCCAGCACTTAGAAGGCAGTGGCAGACAGAGCTCTGTTGAGTTCAAGGGCATTCATCTTAGTCTACATAGCAAGTTCAAATCAGCCAAGGTTACATAGTGTGAGACCCTGCCTTTAAAAAAAAAAAAAAAAAAAAAAAAAAAAAAAAAAAAAAAAAAAAAGGGGGCATAAAAGCAAGGTGGATAGCACCTGAAGAATGACACTCAATAGAGGCAATGAAGACAGTGTTTCTATCTGACACTCTTCCTGTTTTTACTCAGGGAGTCAAAATTGTTTCTATTGGAAATTACTTTGTCTGTTTAGGATAATGGGGTTTGGGGACTTTCTAGAATCCTCATATACACACTAGAAAAGTTTGCTTTCTTAATAGAAGTTAATTTCCTATAATAATTTATTCAGATAAAGTAACCAGGTAGTTGAAATATAATTGAATACAGAGTATGTTTTCTAGGCTGATGACTTAAGCAAAGAAACACTTTCACAACAAAGTGATGACATCAGGAAGATTACCCATCCCTTGGAAATACTCAAAGCAGGGCAAAATAGATTTCTATCTCGTGCTTGTCAATAAACAGCTGACATGCTAAAGCCAACGGCTTTGCACTAGGAGAGTACTGAGAAGGGAGGTGGAAGGAGGTGTGGTTCTAAGGTTGGTCTTTCTTTGTAGAAAGCAGAAAATGGAGATTTCAACTGGATAATACCGGAGCGGTTTCTTGCCTTCTGTGGACCTCATTCAAGATCCAGGCTTGAGAGTGGTATGCAAAACTATGGAACCAGGATAGCCTTGTCTTTTTCCTTTGGAAGTAGAACAACAAGCTGGGCACAGTAGCATGTGTCTGTTGTCCCAGCTGTTTGTGATCCTGAGTGAGGCAGAAGGATACTCCCAGTCTCGAGTTTTGGTGTGCTGAATGGTTGAGTGTCTGGGGTAGGCTCAGAATTCTGTGCTCACCTCCTGGCAGTGGGGCTCCTGAGTTGCCTGTCAAAGGGGTTAGAAAGAGACCAAAGAATCTAGCTAAGTTTGACTCAGTCGTTATGACTTAACCGCTCCTGGTAATTTGAGCACATTGTTTTTCCTGGATGTTAACTTTTTAAACTTCTGTTTTTTACAGTTATAAGCAAATTGGTATTCAGTCCCCAACCCAGACACTGTTTCCACCCACTTTCAGGTGAAACTATTTTCCATTGTTTCCTGCTTGCATTTTACAAGATGTGGTGCATTTCTTTATGTAGGTTACCACCAACATTCTCCTGAGACTTATATTCCATATTTTAAGAATCACAATGTAACTACCATTATCCGTCTGAATAAAAGGATGTATGATGCTAAGCGCTTTACGGAAGCTGGTTTCGATCACCATGATCTTTTCTTTCCGGATGGCAGCACTCCTGCTGAGTCAATCGTCCAAGAATTTCTGGATATTTGTGAAAATGTTGAGGGCGCCATTGCTGTGCATTGCAAAGGTAAGTGGCTAGGTTGGGTTAAAGGGCAGTGTACATACATGAGTATATGAATAGAAATGTGTTGTATCCTTTTTTGTTACATTGCAAGACACATGACACTGTACCTTCTTATGACATTATCGTGTGTGTGTGTGTGTGTGTGTGTGTGTGTGAGAGAGAGAGAGAGAGTGAGTGTGTGAGTGGTGTGTGAGTGAGTGTGTGTCTGTGTGTGTGAGTGTGTGTGTGTGTGTGTGTGTGTAGGAAACTTGTGGTGGTCAGTTCATTCACCATGTAGTTCCCTGGGGTGGAACCCATGTCATCAGATGGCAGTTGATCTATCTCACTGGCCAGAAAGAGTGATTTTAAAACAGATAGTAACTTACTTTCAAGAGTAAGCCTACAAAGGCTTAGCACATGGAAGTGTTCGTATTTATTCTAGAGTCTGTCCTGTGCCTATGTGGTAAGTCCTTAGGTTGTCAGTGATAGAGCAAGGCCTAACTGCTGCTTTCTGTGTAGAGAGTAAGATCTGACAAGATAATGAATATTTCAGCAGCTGTAACAGTTTCTGATACTAAATGTTCCGTGAATGACTGCAAATGATGAATATGGTAGAGCTCATTTAACTTTAATGTGAGCTGGTTACTTAAGGACACAAGGGAAATTCAATAGCAAGGAAAAGAAAAAATAAAACAACCACCAAATTAATTTCTGGAGTTAAAACTATGTTTGTAGGTAGGAATGTAGCTATCGTTACAACATTCAGATGTTCGTTTTGGCAGTGAAAGACGATAAACAAACTAATAAATAAATAAAATGGAAGGGGAGCCAGGAAAGTCTACACAACCCACAAACACCATCATTGACGAGGATCAGATAGTGGATTCTCTAGATGGATGATTTAAAACAGCTACCTCAACAGTGCTTATGGTGAAAAGAAAGTGTGTGTGTGTGTGTGGTGGTGGGGGGAAGGTGAACCAAATCCAAGTGTGAATAGAAGACAAAAACCATAAAAGTAAACCCAAGAAACAAGTCTGAATTAACTTTAAAAACTTGGTTGGCAGGGTTCCAAAGCATACTGTCTCAGGCAGAAGGAAGAAGCCAGGCCTGTAAAGAGCAGAGCCAAAACAGACACAGGTCAGGGCTGGAGAAATGGCTCAGCAGTTAAGAGCACTGGCCACTCTGGCTGCTCTTCCAAAGGATCTGGGTTCTGTTCCCAGCACCCACATGGCAGTTCACAACTGTCTGTAACTCCAGTTCCAGGGGATGCAGCAGCCTCCCACAGACATACATGCAAGAAAAACCCCAGTGTACATCAAAAGGGAAGAGAGAGAAAGAAAAGAAAAAGTCACCAGTTCTATGAATAAGGAAAAAAAGGAGTCAAGAAGAGAAAGGAACAAAATCTAGCAGAGTTGTGGCATGAACCTCGGGAGACCAGATATGTATGGTGGATGCTACAGCAGAGGAGAGAGGGAGAGAGAAAGGAGGCAAACTGTTTGCCTGGAAAATTTTCCGAATTTGATGAAAGACATGATTGTAGACATTCTCCAAACTCCCTACAAAACAAACCCAGAAACTCACATGACTGTCTAAAGACAGAGACACTGGAAGAAGCAAAAGAGGGAACACATCCTGGTTACCAGATCTTCCGTGGGAAGCCGTGGAGGCCCGAGGCAGTGAATTGACAATAATCCAATTACTGAAGGAAAAGCCCTACAGCCAAGAGTCCTATACGTCTTCAAAACTCCCTCAAAAATGAGGAGAAATTAAGCCACCCGCAGATGGTCAAGTGCTGGGGGAATTGTTGCAACTTGACCTGAATTCTGTTAGGTGAATTGGAAGGATCCCAGAGAGTGACTCAAAGCCATATGAAGACGCAAGTATTTCTGGTAGAGGTGAATATGCACACAGAAAGGTTAAAGACTAGTAATGGCTTTTAAGTGTTGTTGCTATTGTAATATAACTACTATAACACCTAAAAAAATAAAAAATAGGAAACCAGTACAAAAATCAACAAAATCCTGGAACGGTTCTTCACAAACTCTAACAAAAATCATACACCTTTAGTTACATTGATGAAGGGAAAAGACTCAGTTATTACAATGAGAAAGTGACAGTGGGGACAATAATGGAGAGTCTATAGAAATGGTAAGAGGGCCTGAACTTGGATCCGCATGTAAAAAGTTAGGCATGGCTGTAGGCACCTGTAACCTTTGCACAGGGTTAGGAGCCGACAGGAAGATTTCTGGGCTTTGTGGCCTGTCAGCCTAGCTGAAAACAGCAAGCTCTAGGTTCATTGAGAGATCCTGTTGCAAGGGGATAAGGTAGAGAGAGATAAAGCTGGACACGTGTATGAACACATGTGAACATCCAGGAAGAAATTACTGTGAACAGTTACAGAACAAAAAGTTGGATAGTGGAAATGAAGTGTAAAATTCCTGGAAACACAAAACCCACCAATGCAGGGTCACCATGAGATGCAGGAGGTGGGTTCAAAGTCAAAACACTTGAATTGAAGCCCTTCCCTGATGAAGGAAAACTCTGGACAGGGTTCATCAACTGTGACTGACACCAGTTCTCAGAGACTACTCAAAATTTAGGAGAAAAAAAGACCTCATACGTTGTATGAAAGCCGTATGATACTATCAAAATTGTGAACATCCTGAACAATTAGTGTTTACCAGCTGAATTCAGTAACATAGTAAATGAATTTCGGGAGCTAGGTCTCCATTGGTAGAGGGTTTGCTTTGCAAACATGATGACATGGATTTGATTTGCAGCACCGCACAACCCATGTGTCATGGTATACACCTGCAATCCTAGCTTTGGGGACATGAACGCAGGGGGATCACAATTCAAGATTACTCTTGGCCACATAGTGAGTTTGAGGCCAGCCCGGGGTACAGGAAACCCTAAGATAATACAATACAGTGAAGTATTATTCACTCTAATAAAGCGATTGTCCCGGAAGTACAGAAGTGGTGCAACATAGAAAAGTCAGTGTGAATCTCCACGGTAACAGTGAAGTAAAAAACCACATCACCGTCTCTGCTAATGTAGGAATGGCATTTGGCAGATTTCAGCACCTCCCTTTTATGATAAAAGCACTGGGAACAAAAGAAGGAAACTGTGTATAAAAAAGCCCACAGCCACTGTCACACTGTGGGTGGCTAGAGGCTGAAACAATTCATTGCTTACTCTCATCCATGGTGGTTTTTCCTAGCAGCCTCCTTGGTTCTCTCCCATACAGTTCCAGTTCCAAAGCCATTGCCACAGTTTGATGTATTTGCTTCCACAACACCCCTATTGTTAATCGTGTTGAATCAGTGAGAATGCTCTAGAGATTGAAAGCAATAGCATGTTTATATATAGAATGGTTTATTATGGAGTCGGTGAGTCCATCATCTGTACTATGAGCTGTCTGCCTGGAGGCGCGAAGGCAGACCTGCTTTTGGATGGAAAGCTAGTCTTCTTGTTCTGTTCAGACTTTGAATGGCCTGGAAAAGAGGATGGCACACATTATAGAAAGCAGCATCCATTCTAAAAATAACGGCACCATTTGAAATGCTGATCTTAATCAAAAATTCCTTTCCGAGTTGACACAACACATTAACCATCATAGGAGTTAATTATCATGGCCACTGTAAAAGGAAAGGAGGAGGCCAACTGTGAGACTGGATGGAGTTCAGATCTCCTGAATACACACTACTGTAGCCCACCAATAGTTACAGGGAAGGAAGAGTTAGGATTTCCAGATTAGACTAGCTAGCCACACCAGCCATATGGGTGAAATGTGTCAGGTTCAGTTCAGAAAACCCTGCCTTGTGAATAAGGTGGCGAGCAATCAAGGAAGACTCTGAAGACTTCTGCTTAAGGCTTCCTCATGCAGGTGCCCCCACAAATGCCACCCTGCATATTCACTCACATGCACACCACATACAGAGAGAGATACACACAAAGTGGAAGGAAGAGTTAAAGAAAAGGGAAAATGAGGTTGAGGGTGGAGCTTAGGGCAGAGTGCTTGTCTAACATGACTTCAGCATTCCTCCCCTAAAGTGGAGTGTGAGCAGGTACAGATGGTGAGTAGGTAATGCTGTTGGATGTGGTAGCAAATTCAAGGCTTGGGCGGAAAACCCTATTAAAAATTATTTAAGTGCGTGTGTGTGCACTCGTGCCTGAGTGAATTATGTGTACCACACACATGCAGATTCCTTTGAGCCAAAGGAGACCTGATGGTGGATGCTGGGAATTGAGCTTGGGTCCTCTGTAAGAGCCTGGGTCCTCTGTAAGAGCAGTAAGTGCTCTTAACACCATTAGGTCCCCTCTCCAGCTCCAAACTCCATATTTCTTCAGATTCCCTGTTCAGAAAAATGATTCTCACTCAGTCTTTGACTTCACATCGAGTCCTCTCGTGGGTTTTAGAAGGATACAGTCTTCGCTCTTAGGCTGTATCCCACTTAGGTCTCAAGGGTGATATCGGTACTGGCCTTTTTACATCTCCAGACTGACTTAGAGAAACTTTGTAGAGAGAGGCAAGACCCTGGGAACTGCTTTCATTTATTTATACCAGGCTCTGTTGAGAAAGTCTTCCACTGTCTCCGGATGTTTGTCTTTTCTTCCTCTTGTTCAGAAAATTCCGGAAGGTGTGCAACCAGGTTTCATTGATTGGTTTGTTTTTCTAGCTGGCCTTGGTCGAACAGGTACTCTGATAGGCTGCTACCTCATGAAGCATTATCGGATGACGGCAGCTGAGAGTATCGCCTGGCTCAGGATCTGCAGACCAGGTTCAGTGATTGGACCCCAGCAGCAGTTTCTGGTCATGTGAGTACAGTGGAAGCTTGTCTCCTGTTGACAGCAGGGATGGGGTGGGGTGTCCTTAGGGACAGCTGTATTTTGATGTTGTTTAAACACTCTAGGAAACAGTCAAGTCTCTGGCTGGAAGGCGACTATTTCCGTCAGAGGTTGAGAGGGCAGGAGAATGGACCCTTCAGTGCAGCCCTCTCCAAACAGCTCTCGGATATTGATGACATTTCCATAAATGGCCTTGAGAATCAAGACAAGCAAGAGTCTGAGCTGGTAATGGAACCATCCCGATCACGCTGTTGTTATTGCTGTAAATGCTGTTGAGATCCTTGTAGGGCATGGAGAAAACTATAGGTAAAGAAAATAAAGTGGCTTTGAAGGGGCTGTCACCACACAGTCATGTTTAGATACAATCCTCTCTAGAAACGTTTGACTGAAAAGAAAGTTGTGTGCGCATAGAATGTTTTACTTCCTAAACACAGGTGGGAATTTGCAGTAGGGAGTAAGCTCTTCAGATGCATCTAGTCACTCCCCTGCCCCAGTGGCCTTATCTTCTTTTCAGCTGTTTTAGTAGTTCAAATGGAGAACTTTCAAAGAACCACAGTTTTAGCAGGCAGCAATACTCGGTTAAGAGGTAATGAATGGATGATCAAACTTTAACGTTAGTTCTAAAAGCAAAAGCCGATATGTATCTCTTTTATAAAGAGAGGGCTTTGGGTCGGGTGACTCCGAAAGTTAGCTTTGATTGTCTTGAAATAGTCTGGTAGTTTGGTTTTTGAAAACTATTGCAGCATTCAAAAGAAACTTAAGGTGTGTGTGTGTGTGTGTGTGTGTGTGTGTGTGTGT